ATATTACAGTCCACATGGGGGGCCTAAAGTGGGGGAAGGATTCGTTCTGTCTTTGTTTGGTCTCATAAAGCTTTCTATTTATTCTCATAACTTCTGAGATAAGCTATGGCAAAACAGAGTGGCTGGTGTCCTGGGACGGGGGATTTTCTGAATGAAAGGTCCCTGTTGATAGAGTAATTTAGGCCACAAATGGGTTTAATTCAACCAGGACACCACTGTCTGGGTTTAATAGCTCCCCTTTGACTTTATCCAAAACTTAATGTGCTTCATCTCTGATCCTGCATTCACTATTTGATTTAATCAAAACTCTTGATCAGGGTTTTTCAAACAGTGGTTCAGGGGCCCCCACTCAAGGGGGTGCTAGGGTGTTCATGGGAAATTTCAGGAAAAATGCATACAAAAATCTAACTTTTATACAGATCTAGCAGTACTATAGTGGGCAGAAACAGACACATGATCAATTTAAATATTTTCCAGATAAATTATTCATAATATTCATATTCATTATATCCATTTTTTTTCTCACACAGTAAAAATATGTCACAGTAAAAAAATTTAGTATATTATATTATACTTGATTATCATAATTGGGGATCCTAGGCATTAAAGATTTTGAAAATATTGCACTAGATCACTGAGGCTTTTGGAATATTTCCTCAGGTGTGCTTTTATATCATGAGCTCTGTGCAAAGCTGGCGCTTCATGCTGTCTACTTTCAGTGGAACCAATAGTGTTTACCAATGTTGTATGTTAGAACAAACACATGCACACACACACACACACACACACAAAACAAAACAAACCATTCACCTCTGGGCTCTTAGCAGCTCCCTGGTACACATTCAAGGGTGAGAGTTAAGTCCTGTGAACTGGCCTGAGAAACTGACCCTGTTTGTGGACATTGCAATCCAAGAGCTTGACATTTTAAATACATTTAAATACATTTTAAAAATCACAAAAGAACAATCTGTATGTGTGAATGAAAATCAAAATAATTACATACAATATATAGTACTAAAGTAAAGTAAATGACTTGTATAAGCATAAATAAATACAGAGCTTCATAAAACTGTACACTACTGTTCAAAAGTTTGGGGTCAGCAAGATTTTGCTTTTCTAAAGAAATCAACACTTTTATTCAGCAAGGATGCATACATTTTTATCAAAACCAAGATACTTACAATGTTACCAAAAATGTTTCAAATAAATGCTGTTCTTTTGAACTTTCTATGAATCAAAAAATATTCAAAGAAAAAATGTTACAGTTTCCACAAATATACTGTATAAAGAAGCAGCACAACCGTTTTAAACTGTAATAATTATAATAGGAAATGTATCTTGAGCACCAAATCGGCATATTGGAATGATTTCTGAGGAATCATGTGACACTGAAGACTGCAGTAATGGTAAAGCTGAATTTTCAGCAGCCATCACAGGAAAAATACATTTTAAAATGTCTTAAAATAGAAATAAAAATATTCATTACTAACATTTCACACTATTACTAGTTTTACTGTATTTTGGATCAAATATATGGAACCTTGATGAGCATAAGAGATTTCCCTCAAAAATATTTAACAATTGTACCGACACCTAATTTTTAAAGGGTAATGTACACTGTAAGTGCAATGTGAATTTTTGGTCAAAAGGATCAATTGATAATCAATAATAAGCACTTAATGAATATTTGTGTTTGTCAGGATGTTTGTTGAAATTCTTGACATCTTATTACCTTTTGAGTGTCACCATACACACATAGCAGTTCTGCAGTACAGAGATCAGAGAATGTTGGGAGAGGCAGAAAGGAGGAAGATGGAGGGAAGAGAGGGGGGTTTAAGATGGAGCAGGTAGACAAAGCCAGCATTCATGGACACAGTGAAGGAATGAAAAACATTCTCCACCAAGAGACGCATGGTCATCAGTAGGACACGGGTTAGGGTGTGCGTGCACGTGTGTATGGATGTATGTGTGCCAACACGAAAGGATATGATATGAGGGGAAGGGGTGTTTGCTCTAATGATAAGTGGGTGTAATTTTACTCCAGGCTCTGGTTAAAAGGAGCCCTTGCTTCAATATCTACCAGCTGCAGTGGAGCTGGTAGAGGAAAAGAGCGGAGAGAAAGTCAAATGGCACACACTCTCAAAAAAAGGTACTAACGCTGTCACTTAGGGTGGTACCTTTTCAAAAGGTGCACCTTTGTGATTTTTTTTATCCCAGAAAAGATGCATATTGGAATGTTAAATGCACATATTAGTACCTAAATGGTACATTTTAGTGCCTAAATGGTGCGATTTTGAAAAGGTGCCATCCCAGCAAAAGCTTTTGTACCTTTTTTCTGAGGGTGTGGGTAAAAAGTAAAAGGTTCAATTTCTTAGTGTGAGCATGTGTGTGTGCCAGTAAGTGTGTGACAGGTCCCCAAAGACAGTACAATTGCCCACACAGCCTCTCTGGAATGCATTCATTCAGAGTTCACGTTCAATTATGTCAGTGTAGAGTTAAAAAAAAGAGCACACTTCACTTTTTTATGCTCTTCAACAAACTGAACAAATTGAGACTGTAAACAAACCACAAGTGTAACTGAAAGGATAATGTCTCAACTGACATTTGGCTGTGGAAAGGTGAGGTTAGTCGGTATGTTGGTGCTGAACTCGATTGATACTCCGTATCCGTTTATAGTGGTGAGTTGGTACGGTCTGCCCTCTACAGGAAAAAAAGGGGTACTAACGGCGCTCCTTGTTGGATACGGGACCCAAAGGTGGGTACAGCCTGCTGCCACATAATCCTCATTTTAGTCTAGTCAGATTATATGGATGTTACAAGCAATTAAACGTAAATAAATGCATTCAAAAGTGTAAATTTACAAATATTATAAACATGTTTTAGACAGAAAAGTTCAACGGACACACTTGTGCATCAGTTCAGTCAGAGTTATGAACTGTGTAGCTACACCAATGTCCACCAGGGGGAGCTCAAATCGAGTAAGCCTATTTAGTCCAATCTTTTGGATGCAGATACCTAACCTATCACTTACAGGCTATATGAGCTCGTGTAATGGTTATGAGTTATTGCAAAGGCTCAAATGTGCAAAAACCATGAGCAAGGTTAAGTTAATTGGATACAGTGAGGTGAGCTGACTAAGGTCCACTATTATATAATCTAGCCTGCTTGTCAGGCATAGGGGGTGTAGGGGGCCAGTCATAAAATGTTGTTCCACACCCTATGACCTCAAGTAACGATCCGGAGTATGATATGAGTATGACAACAATGGAAACTTTTTCCACCCAGCAAAATGTTTTTTTTTTTTTCTAATAACTTTTCATAAGCAGTGATGCAAAATCAAAAAAAAAAATTACTAGTGGAATTAAAAAGAAGAAAAAGAAAGAAAGAAAGAAAGAAAGAAAGAATGAAAGGAAGGAAATTTCTTGTGAAATTAATTGTGAACATGGAATGAATTGTGAACATGGAATGAATTGTGAACAAGTGTAGTACCTACATTTATATATACCTACATTTATTTGTACCTATATTTATATATTTATATAAATTGCTGCAAATGAATCAAATTGATCCCATTTTTTTCAGCCATCACATGTATTTTACTGTCTGGATAGCCCAATTAAACACTTTTTTAACTTTTCTACAATTTAGGGGAAAAGGGGGAATGATAATATAAATAAAATGTGTTTTTATTCAATATATTATTTATTTTTAAACATATGTACTTATATATATATATATATATATATATATATATACACACACTGCCGTTCAAAAGTTTGGGATCAGTAAGACTTGTAATGTTTTTTTAAAGAAGTGTTATTACAATATAAAATAATGGTTTCTATTTTGATATCCTTTAAAATATAATTTATTTCTGTGATGCAAATCTGAATTTCCATCAGTCATTACTCCAGTAGTGTCACATGATCCTTAAGAAATAATTCTAATATGCTGATTTATTATTAGAATTATCAATGTTGGCAACAGTTGTGCTGCCAAATATTTTTTTGGAAACTGCGATACTTTTTTCAGGATTCATTGATGAATAAAAAGTTAAAAAGAACAGTGTTTATTAAAAATAAAAATATTTTCTAACCATATAAATCTTTTGCTATCACTTAACAATTTAACACATCCTTGCTGAATAAAAGTTTTAATTTCTTTCAAAAAAAGAAAGAATAAAAATGTACTGACCCCAAACTTTTGAACGGTAGT